CTGCTAACCAGAAGGCTGGTGGTTCAAACCCACAGCCACTCCTCAGAAGGAAGATTGGGCAATGTACTTCCCACAATCAACTATATAAGACCAAAAGGGCAACATTTGCTGAAAAGCAAAGAGGAGAAAGCAGGGCGTGGCAAGGAAGCCATCCAATGGAAACAGTTAACCCTGTGTGGAAACAGACACAGTGTAGGGATTGTAACCACTGTCAGGGAACAATTAGTGTATGAAATACTGAATGGAAAATCAATTTGCTATGTAAGCTTTCACCTAAAGTATAATAAAATGTTCAAAAATTATTGGCACATTATTATGTTAAACTTGTTTTAATGGATCTGCAAATGTTTCTTTAATGTTATTTATGCATATAAAGTACATTATACACTAAGATAAATGTTTAACTAACTGATGTTAGATACAAACTGTACCTAACTGTTCCAACTTATGTATAAATTTGACTTAAAGACAGAGTTAAGAAGGGAACAGAATTCACTTGTACTCAGCAGACTGCCTATACAAAGCTGATTAGTTGTTACAAAGAGATAAACATGTTTTTTGAATATTTTAGACAACCTTTAATTCTGCTCATTAATGAAGTGTACATAATGAGGACTCACCCTGTAAAGAGGATGGCATTTGTCTCTGAAACATGGAGCCAAACGGGCATAAATCTGTAGGCTATAGTAATATGCAGCCAGCTGGAGACATAAAGCAGAGTGGGACTGCTTCTCAAAGCACTTGTTAGCATCTAACACCTAGAAGGGAACATGATAGAATTAACTCAACAGAAAGGAAAATAACAAGCTTATAACAAATCATTCATTATATTTCTAGTCATAACTGCAGGATTTTGATTCAAAACTCCCTTCATCTCAACATATGAACTCAAGTTCAACTTAATGTGGCTACATTGAAATTCAGAAAACAATATAAAGGAATTTAAGATTGGCATTTAAGCTAACACTAGAATTCACCTCCTGGACACTGACCAGGGACCATTCAGCCCCTAAAGACTATCAGAAGGAATTAAAACATATTATAAACAATTTCACTGATGAAAATCTCCAGTGTAGATATTTCCCTTATCATTTTTAAGTTCTTCTTCATTGCTAAAGGTAAACTTACCTGTGGTAAAGCAAGGAGATAAGCAAGAGCCAAGGTCATATCATTTGGTAAAGCATCGCTGGCTAGTTGTAAGAGAACTGAATGCAGAAACAAGAAAAAATGCATTAATGTGCTTAAGGATTTATCTGACATTCATAATTACTAAGTGTCATATTTTAGTCCTATATGATCTCAGGGAACTCTGGTAGTGTAGTGCCTAAGGCATTTGACTACTAAACAGAAGGCTGGTAGTTCAAACTCACCAGCCACCCCTCAGAAGGAAACCTGGGCAATCTACCTCCATAGAGATATCGCCTTGGAAATCCAAGGAGGGGTTTACTATGAGTCGGAAACAACTTGACAGCAGTGAGTTTGATTTTTGTTTTTTTATATGATTTCAACAAATATTGGCTCCAGAGGAACCTTTATTAAATTCTACTCAGCACCATCGAAATACAGATCACATGGAAATGTGGTAACCTGCCTTAACTCAGACAAAGTATACTGCTCATTATGTACACTTGAGCAAACTGTTTAGGGCAGCCGCAACATGTAAACACAAACACATCAGTAAAGATGGTTTTGTACAAACTAACTTAGTGGTTTTAAAGACTGGGATAATACTATAAAATTATATTAATCAATGACAGCTTATACAAAAGACGATCATATGAGTACTAAAGATCAGAGTAAAATAGATTTGTTAATACAATTTTAGGGTAATTTTTATTATTATTACAATGATGAAAAAATTGTTTTGCTACTCTCAAGAATACCTCTCTTCATCACACACCAATAAATAAATAGATAAATAAATAACAGTCTCTCATTTTGCTATGTCTTTAAAAATCCTCAGCTATTAACAATGTTTTTCCACAGAAGTTTCTATACAAGCAGTAATCTGTTGATGTCATAATCTTAATAAAAAGAATAAACTGACAATAAAGTTTGTGTTTATATACAGTTTGTGTTAAGGAGGTATTTCATTCATGTAGGGTCTTAGTGACAAATGCCAGAGA